TTTTCTTTGTACTTCTGCTAATTTGGTGTTTTTATTATAATAATTTCTTTCTACTTTGGCTTTAGACAAATGTTCTTTAAATCTTTTGAGCAAGTCTTTAGCTTCTTCCTCTTGACGAGCATTATAATGTAAACCATCTCTAAAATGTTGACAAGTATCACACAAGTCAGTTCTTGGACTCATAATTTGAATTTCTGGTGTCAATTGATGTCATAATTTTCTGAAGGCATCATATTTTAAGGATTTTAATTTGTTATCTTCCTCTAAACCAGCCAAAAAGTCTCTATGTACTGATTTATAACTCATTCCAGCTGGTAAGAATATAATTGATTGAGTTATTCTATTGATATTTCTTCCTGGACTTGGTAATCCATAGACTTCTGCATAATTTTTTAGAAAATTTTTTACTATTTCTGCAACATTTTTATCAATCACCATTTTAGTTTTCCATTGAGGCATCCTTTTAATGTTACCATGAATTCTTGGCAGAAGACCATTGTTTATCAGATGATTTCTAATGTTTTCAAAATAGGTCCTACCAATTCCTAACATATTGAGGTAAGTTACTTGACAAAGGAGTGTATTGTGATCCCAATGGTAGAAAGTTCTTTTATTAGACCTAGTTTTCTTTTTAAGGCGTCTACTAGTGCTTATTAATCCCCCATTCATTGCCTTAAGTTGAGCCATTAAAAATATGTCTTGTTCAGACTTGGAAAGAGCTTGAAAGGATTCCCTTAATGCTGCAAATTCTTCCTTGGGAATTCTTGAAGAACAACCACAATCACAGCCTTTTTCTAAAAAATCAATTGCTTTTTGATATTCATTAGAACCATTGTATTTGTTATTTTCATTATTACCTTTCATATACACTTATCCCTATATATATAATTTTATGTTCACTTTGTAGGTTTCTTCAATTATTTTAAAATCAAAGGTTAAGATTGGATGGAATAGAATTAAATTGTGAATTTGTAATAAAAATTGAAAATAGTTTAAGTATATACCTGATAATTATTTAAATTGATTATTGAGTAATTTGTGAAGAGAAATCTCCAAGAAATTTGGTCAACCTCCCCATGAAAAATCATTATGGCCTAGATTTAAATTGGCTTATCATCATTAATAATCAAAATGAGAAAAGACAAACAATAAATGAAATAATAACAAGTTAATAAAAAATTGACTACCTTTACCAATGAAATTTTCCACACATTGTTGATCATAAACAGAAAATGTTATTATTGCTGTAACAAATCACGTGTAGTGATTCATATTTTGTTTACTTTTTATAGACATAAAATTTACTTAGATAATCAATTATTATTTATTATCTGTTATTATGTTCAAAATATCTTCTGGATAGATTATAACAATAAGATTAATTATAGTTTATTTATATTTTTATTATTTATATATTATTATGTATTTTTAACATAAAAAGAATTATCCTCTAAGAAATAAAGGCAATTTGTATTTTTACAATAATTAAAGTATCTGTTTGAAAATACTGTCACTAATTATTTTTGGGAGAGCATAATTTTAATTGATGATAACAGATTTTTATTAGTTTATGTGGATCAGAGTGAATGAGGTATTAACGAATTAATTTTGTTATTAGCGAATAATTTAATTTTAAAGTGATTTGATAAATGATTTATTTAATTTGTATTCTTAGTCAAAACTAATTATTAACTTATTATTAAGTTAATTTGTTACAAAGTTATTCTTCGACTACAGCAAATTTCCATTCCTTATATACATTTTGAATTCATATATAGCCCAGTTGGGACATTTGGCCCAATGGGACAACAAGCCACTTGGGATACATAGCCCATTTGGGACAACGAGCCCACCTTGTACTTGGGACAAGTAGCCCAATGGGATAATAATCCTAAGTTATTTCTAAATAAGGTCTAATATTAATGTATTACAAATTAATTATTTCTGCGGAATGTAACACGAGCTCATATAATTAATTAAATCATTCGGGATAAGAAATATAAATAGAAATACATAATGAAATAAATAATAAATACTAAAATAAACAATATAAAGATAAGGATAATAAATAATATGAAGATAAACATAATACATATAAATAAATAATATAAATGAGATAAATAAAAACGAAAAGATGTACAACGGGGTTCTACGGAATTTCGGGGTTATCTAATAACGAATTTAGGGTTAAATTCTTATTCCGGTGACAATACTTATAATTTATCTTGTTGAAAAGTAACTCTTACAATTGTAGAAAAATTATATTTTACAAAATAATCAATTTTTGAAACTTAAAAATTAATTTATATATAATGATTATTACATTAAGGTAAATAACTTTATTTGTAAAATGCTACCTACAAGAACAAAGAAAGATGGGACCCTAAATTAGCACAAAAGAATTTTAAATCATGTATAAACATGATAGCTTGATTGACACAGTGGTGCAGTCTTGAAATTTTTTTTATTGTGTATTTTAAATATAATTAATTATATATCTTTAATAAAACAAACATGACTTAGCTATTTAATCATTTCCTTGTATGTGAATGCCTCCATCCATCAAATATTCATAATGGTCATGATGATTATTCAATACATTTGATGTCATCATTGACATAACAAACAATTGCATCACCCAGGTAATAAATAACACCAAGGCCATGCATAAACGAAGCTTTTAATAATGTGTGTCTACCCAGATCTCTGGGGTTCACAATAATAAATTATTCTTCCTGATTATCAATTATGGTTCCTTATGAATAATAAATCTGATTTTGATCACAGGTGTCAGATTTAATTAAAGTTTCCTATCACAAACATGCATTAAGGTGCTTTCACACGCCTCATATCTAAGGATTTTTCTTCCACAGGTGAGGCCACGTACATGCTGGAAGGCTTTGGACAAAACTTTCCCTTATCCTCCCCTAAGACCAGGCTGGATGTCACCATATGGGCATTGATCACTGATAGCTTGGTGCTTGTGTGATGATTGCTGCATGTTATTGCCACACTAGAATAAAAGTTGGTGTTAAGACTGGCTTGAAAATTCTGCAACTCAGGAGGTTGTAACCTGGATTGCTGCTTTGGATTTCCCTGAATTCAGAGTTTTGAGTCCTGGGTTGCTGTAATTTTTATGAAAAGAAAAGTATTAATATTTAACAATTAATTATTTAAATGTTTATTTTGTTGAAAAAAATATGATAGTGTACATTTTCTGTGCTTAACATCCATGTGACCCTAAGTCTGGACAAAGGATCCCTTTCTATGAGTTTGGCTGGTATATCCCAAAGGCGTCCCCTGTCTTGTCAGTGACATGCCAACTCACCAACAACCCTACCCCCATTTACTAAAATAAAAAATTCAGTTGGTCAGATAAAAATTAAAGAGAAGCAAAAAATTTGGGAAAATGTTTAATTTATAACATAACATACCAAACAAATTCCGAACCATTTTATAACTTTTTCTTTTTCTTGTTGGCCATATTGCTGACAAAGATGTATATAATCATGTGATAATTTTAACCTACAGGACAGAAGACTGATTGGGCAAAAACCCAATCCAGTCCCCTACCCAAATTATAAATTTGTTAGTTAATATCAGAGAACAGAGCATTTAGGAAAATGATTATACAAAACAAACACTATTTTACAACTTCCCTCTTAACATCAGAGTCCAAATGCAATTTCAAGGCCATCAACCCTGCTCTGAATTGTGACCTCCTGTGATTGAAACGAGCTGCAGATTCTCTTAATATTCCTCCAGAGTTGCAACAGCTTGGTCACAGTGCCATCCTTGCCTTAGAGGTAGGATCATTGTAGGCAACTTTTCGGCCAACATGCCAGTGGCCATCTCTGGTCTGAGAAGATTAGTGAAAGCATCATTGACGATTGGTGCAGTCACAGTAAACTCCAGATCCACGCGCCTTCTGGAATTCAGTTGCATCATCATATCTTCGGGTCGTCGGGTCAAGATTAGCCTTATGTACACGAGGAAGATGTGAGAATGACTGTAATGTGTTCAAGGTAGTGTGCTTCAACGTCTGCCAATTTCCGATAACCAAACATTGCATATCAAAATGTTTCTTTTTCAACAGTGTGCTGCCTTGACATCTTGTAATTATTATGATAATATAATAATATTTTAATTAATATTAATTATCACAAAAAGCAAAATATTATCAATGAAAATCTTGTAATTACCCAGCAAGATCTGCTCCACGTTTTGATTTCCAATTAAAATATTTATAATAACCAAAAAAATCAATACAAATAAAAAAAAGTACCTCTGTTAGTTATTAACACTTCTTCTTTAGGAAATCCAAACCAAGCCAAACAACAACATTCATGCTTTGTCACCTTGGACTCTGTCAAAAAATATATTGTTTTTCCAAAAAAAAAAAAAAAAAAAACAATTCGCGCCTGTACTACCAAAAAAAAAACCAATAGGATAAATAATTAACGTGTACGCGTCCGATCATATCACAAACTTTTCTTTTCAAAGAATAGTAAAAGAAACAGAGATAATTTTTTAGATGGAGAAAAAAGTAAGTGTTTTAAGGATGGTGGTGGTGGTTATCGCCCGCCACTCATCGTCACTCTAGTTATTTAAAAAAGAATGGTTACGATCATTGCAATCCATTATCATTCTATATAGCTTTTAAAAAATTATATTTATCTTTTAGACAGGATGCTAAGGACATCAAATCAAAAAACCCTTTTCTGGATGAGAAACCATTGTCGCCTTCATTATTACTAAAAAAAAAATTATATTCATCTTCACCTACGCCACTTGTAAGTAAATTATATTCATTCAAAATGACTATTTTTTTGTTTAATATATGATGGAAGCTCATATAACCTTTTTTTGCACAAATTAAGTTTAAAAAAAATAACAATGCACCTGCTTTTCAAGTTGACTATCCAGTCTCATCTTTGCCATTACAACATTCAATTCTCACACACCTACCTCCTCAATTTTATGATCCTTCCACAAATATAATGGAAACTCCAACTGTGGCTAGAACTTCTATGTACACCCCAACAGATCCATCAATAATAGTTAATACTACATTTACTACTACAGCTACTGGTGAGGTAGAAGAATTGATTCCTTTTGAAATTCTTTCAAAATTGCAAGAATATTGCAAAAAACCAACAATTTCAAAATATGAGTAAGCTTATTGATATTTATTTTGGGTATTTTTACAGCCATTTATTGTATATAACTTTTAATTGGATTATATTTGCATAGTTTTGCATATTCACATGTGTTGGAACTTTCACCTACGTCAAGGATTCGAAGTGAATTTAATAATGAAGAATGGACAGTGATGTGTAATGATAGACCTAATGATGTGAATATTAAATACTTTACAGAAATCAATAGTATTATCAATCATTTATTTGGAAAAAAGGTATTGAATTTCCTTGTATATGATTTTTTGTGATTTGATTGATCACAATTTTAACTAATTTTTATGATCCTGTAGAAAATATTGACTGTGCAAGAGGCAAGAAACAATTGGATGGAATTAAGGGGAATGAAGGTTCCTAATGATATTGCCAATTATTCATTCAATAAAGACAATTGGAAAAGTATATTATTTTGGGTTGAAGATGTATTGGGAACTTAGTAAGTTTATTTACTTTTTGATCTAAGATCATGTGCAATATTCAATTTAATTTTATTGGTCTTATTTTTTTTTAGTCTGTCAGCTTTTGAATCTCAGATAAATCCAATACAACAATACAATATCAGCGAGGGGGAGTGGTTTGGTGACTATGTTGTCAAATTGTTCAAGGGAGCACTTAGATTAAATAACTTTTGCCAAGCTAATTCGTATGCTATCAAGTTTCTCACTTTTATATTTTCCATTGACTAAATTTCTTTTTTTTTTTGGGGGGAAATAATTAGAGGAGAAATAACAGTCATTTCAAGTTCAAAAAGAAAAAATGAAAAAATTAATATATTAGAAGAAACAGCTCAACGTGGTCATATGGCAGACTTTCTTTGTTCATTTGGATCAAATGAAGTTGTGGCTGGTTTGTCATGTGGTTCTCCACATTTATATGATCCAACAAAAAAAGAAATGGATATGTATCATTTATCCAGGTTATTAAAAGACATGCTAGATGAAAATTTGGCCCAAGCAGAAGTTGAAGGGGGACATAAAGCAAAATTATATACCATTGGAATACGAGTAAGATTGGTTTGAAATTTCATTTAATTGTTGTATATATAAATCTAAAAGTGATTTTAATTTTTTTTATAATTTAGCAATTTCAGAAAATTGTACGAATATATATTATGGAAAAACGTGATGTGTACAGACTTCACCTTTTAAAACAATTCTCACTTCCTACCACAGCTGCTGATTATGCCAAGCTTCGAATTGCAATATGTTGGGCCTGGAATATAAGGGTAGATTTATTTTTTTTCTCTGTTGTTTTTTAATAGTCTCTAATATATATTGATTGTTATTTCATCACTTGGTTCAGTGTATGGTAAGAAAATTGTGGATTGATTCTTCTAAAGAAATTTGTGCATCTCCTATAAGAATCGAGGTGACCAATCAACAATACATAGAAACACCTAATACACCAGAAAAACAGCCAAAAAGGAAAACAATCAAAAAAAATGATTAAAACTGTTTTTTGCAATATCTTTCATTTCAAATTTTCTTATTCATAAAATAGTTCAAGATAATATAAAATGTTTAATAAAGATTAACATAGGATAATCAGATATTTTTTGCAGGGCGGAATTGTTAAATGATCAGATTCATTGAGAAAAATAACAATATCAATTTCCATTAATATTAATAAAATATTTAATGTTAGTAGCACAATTATGATGTTAAACAATTTTGAACCCTGAATTCTTGGTAGACAAATGTTCCATTTTAATTTTGTCTGATTCTGTTACAGTATGCCCATATTACTTAAGAAAAAGGGGAGGTAACAAATGGAATATTATAAAAGCTGCCAAATTATTATTACAATAATAATCACATTACAATTGTGATAATAATGACTAAATTTTTGATCCCTGAAATCTTTGGTAACACTAATGTTCACTTTGTCTGGTTTTGTTGCAGTATGCCCCATATAATAAATAATAAAACCGTGTGTAACATTAGCATATATGATTGGTGTAACACAAAAATACAGAAATATGAACTTAGTTGTAAAATTAGCGAGGGGAAAAAACCATCTGTTAGAAAAATACAATAGTGATAGAGATACATAATAAGAATTTTACTAAATAGGTTAGGAATCAAACAATACAGTTTCCATAATTTTATTGTATATTAACCATTTTTATATATTATTTGATCGTTATAGTTGGATTAAATACAGCACCAACTAGGTTGACAAAAGACGATAAGCCGAATTGAGTAACTTGAAAATCAATTATCTTGGGTTGATAAATTGTTTTTTGGTGCACCAAAGTGACTTGATTGATTGGTGGAGCGATGCAAAAATTATCTTTAGCTGATAAAGTCATCTTTAATCGATAAAATCGTCGAAAACCGATATCAATCATTTTTATAATTAATCAAAATGTATATAAGCAACTTGGTTCCATGTAACTTTTTCTTGGTAAAAGAAAATAATCATAACATTGACTTGCAAACAGCTTCGACTTGATACATTCGTTGATAAATGCTTATTTGGTTTTGCTCGCTCAATTTATAATTGGTGGCTCTACTATGATGGCTATAATAAGAGTAAACCGAATGCCTTTGTGTAAGTCATTTTTTGAGAAGCGAATCAAATCATTAATCAATGCGGAATGAAAATAATTTACAAAAATGTCTCTCCACATCAGCTCAACCTTTGCCCTCCTCCAAATCGCCATTTTACTTTTGCCTTTCCAAAATTTATCATTCCCGTGACCAATGCGTACGTGTCATAAATTAATCAATATAAAATAGTATTATATTATTATTTCCCTTAAAATATTTAATAATTCAATTATAATTTAAGATCCAAATATTTGTCTGATATTTAAAACCAACACAAACCACGTTATATAAGGAAAAGATAAAAGCCATAAAATATAGTGTTCGCCTACAAAAGATGTAAATTAAATGATACACTAATATCGATATCACAAGTATTATTGTATTGCTTAAAAATCATATATTCCATTATTTTACTCTTGACTCTTTAATCAAATCTCCAAATGATCCTTCGATTCCATTTATAATTTCACATATTGTTTGCACTATCTTTTATATTTATTTTATTAAATATTTAAATCTAAAATCAAATCCATAGTGACATTACACTTTGATGCGACACCACTGAGTTTATTAAAATAATAAAATTTTAATAAAAAATGCGAGGCAGATTTATTAATTAAAAAAAAAAAAAAAATAGTTGACAACATATTTTTGTTTACGACTATAATTAAATGCAAAAAACATGAAAATAAAAAAATTATATTTTATCAATACTCAAATGCCATTTAGTCAATATTGAGATATCTTATATATAAAAATGATGTACCAACCAGGGAATTTATTATAATTTACTATCTTGTGGTTCTATTTTCCAGAAATTCATTATGACCCACAAAACGAGGTTCTTAAATTCCAAACTATTTGTGGATGGATATCGCAGCATTTGATAATATTTTTCTTTTAGAAATTAGTACTTCAACTCAAATCAGGGTTGGTATCCCATCAATTGTCCATTGGTGTAATATTTTGACCAGATTTAATATTAATGGTGATTGACCCAGTCTATTGCCAAACTTGCTACATACATACAATAAGGTGCAATTATTTAATAAAATTTAGTGAAATATAAACTTTATATGTTGATAAACGTTTTGCGGATCAAGTAAAGTTGCGCAAAGTATTAATATATAGAATTGTTGAAAACCCTTGTTTTCAAAGTTTAATCTCAAAAAGTTACACATGTCCAAGTAAACATATCTATGGATTGGCACAACAAAACAAAAAAAATAATTTGACTCTTGAAAAGAATGTTTATCAAACTTTAAAAACCCCCTCACATGTATGTATGTTATTTAATTACGTTACACACACACATATTCCAAAAAAGTGTGTAACTTGTTTTATTTTCTATATATAAAAGCCAAAGTTTTATATTTTTATTTTCACATTGTTTCTCTTTTTTTAAAAAAAAAGTTTGAAAAATAACAATATGAAAATTTTGATTTTAATCCTTATTTATAGTTTTATGTTATTTAATGTCACAAATTCAGTTCCTTCGCTAATTGAAAGACAAGGTGCGAATGTATTAATATATCCAATATTATTTTTAATAGTAATAAAACAACAACAACAATAATATTTAATTCATTTATAGATCCTAACAAATGCACAAGTTGTCCAGAACCCCCTTCAGTATGTGAACCAGCTTGTAAATCTGATAGCGAAGTTTGTATAATAACGCCACAAAGTTGTTTATCATGTCCAAAAGCAACATGTAGATTGGCTAAAGACGAACGTAAAGAAACAAAAAATTTATTTAATTTCTTATTTATGTCATTAATTATTTATTTATTAATCATTTATTTAACTTACTTTATAATCCACCAATATTTCTCAGCATGTTTAAATTGTCAAACTTATCCTGAATGTTCAAAATGTGCAGATGATGAAAAGTGTGTTATAGAAGAACCAAACTGTTATGCTTGTGGATCTGCTACTTGTGTCAAAAAATCTTATGGTAAAGGAAACCATTAATTCGTTAATTCATTTTTGGAAAAAAAGAAAATATTAATCAAAATATATTTTATTATTAGCGTGTGTTAATTGTATTATGGCAATGCCAACGTGTCCAGCTTGTCCTGGATCATATGAATGCCAAATAATTAAACAAAATTGTTTTACTTGCGCTCAAAATATTTGCGTTCCTAAAAGCTCTTAATCAATTAATCAATAGTTTATATTAACTATATTTTGCTATCTGTATAATTTTTGTAATTGTAAACGTTGTAATTGTCATAATATAATGTCATAAATTTAAGAATTTATAACTTATTTAAGCTTGAAAACTGATCAGAGTCCTTGAAAAATTTTTTTTATCATAGATCCCAGAAAGTTTATTACTATGATTCTCGATCCTTTAAAAACCACATTTTCATTTTTTGTGTAAACCCTTTGCCAATAACAAAAATAAATAAAATTTTGTTAATTGCTGAATTAATAATGAAAAAGTGCAAAATTCGTAAACAAATTTCAGGATAAGGAAAAAATTCGTTTTTTCACTTTAAAAAGGCAAAATTTAACAATGAAAGAAGGTACTTGCATTGTTTTATATGCCTAATATTAATATGGCCAATATTTTTTCAATCTAAACAAAGTTTCCCTATATCGCTTTTGATCTACAACAAAAAAAATTAGAGGACGAAGAAGTTCTTATAGTTCTGAAAACAATGTTCATTAAACAACTGTAATCAATTAACGCCCACGTCAATTACTTTCCCATCTTTGGTATTTTTAACAAATTTACTATTATTGAAATTATTCAATTCTGCAATGTTACAATAATTCTAATCGCTCCCTTTATAAAGAAAAAGTTATTCCTAAAAAAATAAGAAAGTCAATGGGGGACTGGGTTTGAAAATTACGTTCGGGCTCTCTGGGAGCCTGTCAAAGCATCATGCCTATTCAGCCTGATATCTAGATTCATTTATTTTTTTTGTTTTATTTATTCAATTATATAAGATAAAAAATCGCCAGCCATTTATGTCCTTTGCTATTGTCATTATCATTAACACATGACTGTTCTTTCTGTAATTTCATTAATTATTTCCAAGAACCTCATATAATAAATACATGAGCAGGATATCTCTCTATATAAAAAATTTCTTCTTTTTTCTTCTTTATCATCCATTTTATTATTTTTTTTTCTATATTATTAACCCATTGGTTTTTCACTAAAATTGGGTTTTCGTTTATAGGTGTTTTCATATCATTTCACAACATCATCTGATTCATGCTTGATTTCTGGTCTTCCAAACTTTGTGATTTTTATAATGAAGCAAAAAGCCAAGAAAAAAAAATTTTGTTAATTAGTGCAAAAAATTTTACATAGAGAAAAAAAGATTTAATTTAAACGCTTGTTATAGTAGAGCCTTGAAACCTTCGTTGCAGCTACGCCTGGATTTCGAATTCCCATAGGTCCTTAGCATTAGGTATGGTTAAAAAAAATCGGCCATTTTTTTTCTTATTTAATTTACCAATGACTAGAGTGACGGCGAGTGGCGTCAACCATCATTATTATGATATGCACTTATCCTTTGGCAGCACCAAAGGTATCTTTTTTTTTCTTTTAATAATTAATGTTTGATCGGCACGTGCACATTTATTAGACTATTTTTTTTTTTTGGAAAAACAAATAAGATGGCAAAATGTGTGTCTCCCAAAGACGTTTAATAACTAATCACAGTTACTTTTTTTTAATTTGCCTCATTGAAATCAAAATGGGAGAGATCTTGCTAGGTAACTATAAGATTCTCATCAAGACAATTGGTGTTTTGTTTTTCGTAATCAATATTAATAATAACATTAATATTGTATATATAATTACAAGAAAATTCCAAGGGCAACACTGACTATTGAAGAAGAAACATTCGAATATATGATGTCGAAATTAACAGATGTTAAAGCACGCACGCTACCTTTAACATTACAGTCATTCTCACACATTCCTCATGTACACAAGGCTAATCAGACTCACGCCTGACGATACAATGATGCAGCAAATTCCAGGGAGAGAGAAAGATGCTCTGGAGTTTATCCAAGGCTGCGTCAATTGTCAATGCACTTTCACTAGTCTTCACGACAAGTTAGATGAAACGTTGTCTGCAACAGTACTACTTCTAGGTAAGGCTGGCCCTGTGACCAAGTCGCAACTCTGGAGGAATATTAGGAGGAATCTGCAACCCATTTCAACAGGAGATCGCAATTCAGAGAAGAAAGCTGTAAGATAAAATGGTTCAGATTTTGATTTGGTATGTCGTATATAAATTAATTATTCCCAAATTTTCTTAATTATTATTTGACCAACTGAACTTGTTATTTAAATTGGGTTGGGTTGTTGGTGAATAGGCATGCCACCAACAAGACAGCAACCCAGGTCGCATTGGAGAATTTTGAATCAGTTGCATACACCAACTTTATACTAGAGGGATATAACACAAAGCAAGCATCACACAAACATCAGTTATCAATGATCAATGTCCATATGGTCTGATCTGAGAGGAAGATGAGGGAAAGTTTTGTCCAAAGCCTTCCAACATGTGTGCAGCTCACCTATGGAAAAAATCTATAGTTAAGGGGCATGCGGAAGCATGGTTATTGCATGTTTGTGACAGGAAAATTTAATTAAATCTGACGCCTGCAATCAATATCAGATTTATTATAGAAACCATAATTGATAATCAGGAAAAATAATTTTTTTTGATCCTTCCTGTTCATTTCTGCATGGCCTTGGTATTATCACTACTTGGGTGATGCAATTGTTTGTTATGCCAATTATAACATCAATATCATGAATATTTGATGGATGGAGACATTCACATACAAGGAAATGATTAAATAGCTAATTCGTGTTTGTTTTATTAAAGATATATAATTAATTATATACTAAAAAAAAATTACATGGCTGCACAGCTGTTATGTTGTGCATGATTTAAAATTCTTTTGTGCTAATTTAGGGTCCCATCTTTCTTTGCTTATATATAATCTATTGGTTCTCTTTTTACTGGTCAAATGATGCCGAATTGGGTAATGGGGTATTAGTAAATATTAGAATCTGATATCTGACCAATATTCTTTAAGAAAATAATTTTGGTATTGGCATGCTGATAATAATATTTTTATCATATAGTCTAAAAGCCTACTAGTAAATATTGAAAGTGCCAATATTTATCAGATATTCTTTTAAAATTAATCCTATTTTTTAGTTAATTATTGGGTTTAATAAACCAATAACTCTTTTATATTGTTATTTAATTATTGGTTAAATATTTCTTAAAGCTCTTTGTGCTAAAATAATATCATAATCTTGAGTTTCTATTTGAATAAGATTTACTCAATTAAAACAAATAATTTGAGTAAAAAATAATAATAATTCAAATAAAACGAATAAAGTGAATAATTCAAATAAAATGAATAATTCAAATAAACAACAAAACAAATAAAACTGAATAAAACCAAATAAAATGAATAAAACTGAATAAATGAATAAAATGTATAGTCAGAACTCATTAAGACAATGCTTTGATAAACTGAATATACATGATAAACTGATGTTGTTTTATTATCTACCTATCAAATTACCTCAATAAGCCAATTTTATTAAGGTTTTTTAAATCAAAGTTTTTTTTTTGAAAATATTGACTTCGGTTTAACGAATTCTGATTGTATTACAGTCTGGGATAAGGTTGTGGGTGAAACCTCTTTAGTAATTACTGAAACCATGGCAAAACTATATTAAATCTTATCAAAAATCCTATGCCGAAAGGCGAAACCTCAAAATGCGAAACTCTGCCGAAACTCTAATAAACAATTAATGTGTAACCTGCTGAAACCCTGCTGATTGATTTCTGGATGAGTTTTGGCAAGCAACC